GCGTCGAGCAAACTGGAGGCTTCCTCAGCGTGAGGGGGAGCAGACCTTGGGCAGACGGAGAGACCACCCCAGCCGGGCGAGCTCCCGTGCCCAGCACCGAACATCTCAGCGCGGGCTGCACTCGGACTTGCCTTTTCCTTCGAGGCCCCATGTGTCCCTCGCTTTCATTCTGAAGGGGTTTTCTCCCCAGCATCCCCGTGAGCGGAGACCACCCTGTTTTATGTTTTTGTCTCCCCACTCTCCATTAACTAGCACAGGATCTGCTCAAGAGTGAGCCTGATGGTGACAATAAGCAAACCACTAGAAATAGTGTCTCGATGTGCAAGGCATCATGTTAACACCTGAACTCTGCTACTTATTTTGTTCTCTCGAGGACCCAGCAAGGTAGGTCTCAGGAGCCTCATTCTGTAGGAAGCAGAGAAAGTTAATAGCAAGCCTAAATCTGCACAGCTATCAGGTGAAGAACATGGCTTTGAACTGAGCTCTGTCTGCCCCAAAGCCTGTGAGCCTTCTCTCTGAGCAGGGCGGGTACCCTACTGGTCTTGCTGGGAGGCCACCGGAGGAGGCGGTGCAGATTTGCCACGTGGCTGCAGACTCAGTTCTTGGTTTGTTAGCAGAAAAAACTGACACCCAGAGGTGCTCACAATGGCATAGGCCCCTCAGGAAGTGAGAGGTGTGCATTGCATGGGGAGCCATGACCTCTGAGGAGCCTCCAATCTTGAGCATTTATGGGTGTCCTCGTGGACATGTCACAGGGGATATGCTTGATAAAATGCCCCCCAGGCCACTTCAAAGGCGACTTCAGTGGGGCAAGTGCTTCTGAGGACCCCAGGAGAAGAGTGGGTGCACAGGGAGGGATTTTCAGGGAGAAAGCAATGTTAAAAGTAGCAAGAGCGACTTCCCCAGGCCTGGGACCCGAATGAACTCTGCTCGAAGTGGCATAAGGAGCTGAATCACCAGGAGCCGGGCTCCTTCCTCTCTTCTCCCTTAGCTGAGCGCCCATCAGCAGCCTGGCATGAGACCAAGAGCTCAGGGTGGGGGTGCAGAACGGAGCCGCGAAGTAACAATCCCTTCCTGTGGGAGACACACAATGTAATCCTCAGAGGCGAAATAAAGAGCCGAGTGGCTGAAAAGGTTTGAACACAGCAAGGTCAAGCGCTGAGCGCAAGATAAGAGCCTGAGAACCCACAGGGCGGGCCTGGCCTTGCCACCGCGCTGGGCAGGCAGGGAGGAGCGGGGCCAGCTGGCCAAAGAGCATCTCAGAGAAACCGTCAAGATGGCAGGGAGTTGGCAGAAGCGCCGTAACAAGGACCCAGCAGAAGCCACAAAGAGAGATGGGAAAATTCTCTTTCCACCGTTCACCTGGGAAAAGATGATTTTTTAAATGTGCTCTCTTATCGGATGGGGATAACACACAAGGAAAGAAAGCAGGGGCTGCGGATACGGGTTTGGGCTTGGCCATGTGTGGTCTGTACCTGCGCATGCCTGCAAATCCCTGCACATGGAGGTGTTCGAGTTTTCCGTGCCTCTCGGTGAAGCTGCCTGAGGCTGTGTGCAACCGTACTTGTGTGCAGGTGTGAACAAGTACCTTGACCTTGGTTTGAAATTGGAAAATTCAGTGTCCATGCTGCCTGTCACACCACCAGACCCAATAAGCAGAGACTGGGATTGAATTTTTATGGGCACTTTATTCAGGTGGCTGGAGATCTGAGAAGATGGCGGGTTATGCACCCTAACAGACTGTCCTGCATTTCCTTTCATGCCAGCCTTGTTATAAGAAGGGAAAAAGAATAGGTAAGGGATTTGGAATTCAGGAAGGAGGCTAATCAGATAAAAGCCGAAGTCTGGCAATTTCCCTAGCATCCTCTTCCCCAGCATCCTTTCGTTGGTTGACGTGGCTTTGAACTGAGCTCCGTCTGCCCCAAAGCCTGTGAGCCTTCTCTCTGAGCAGGGAGGGCGCCCTACTTGTCTTGCTGCAAGGCCACCGGAGGAGGCGGTACAGATTTGCCATGTGGCTGCCAGGCCAGGCCATGTGGCTGCCGAAATTCTGTATCTGTGTCCTGTGTCCTGGGTAGCAGGACATCTCTCCCTGGAGTACAATGGCTCGGATACCATCTCATGGCTTGTAGTCCTCTTGGGGCACAAAGGTGGAACCGCTTGTGGTCTTCTGGAGTCGGGATGGGCCCCACCTTTGGTTCCTGAAACAGTAGCTTTTTTCATGCAGCAACTACTAAGCTTATTAACTATAACTTAAAACTAAAATTTCCCAACTCTTAAGTTCCCCCATCAGGTTATCTTGGCCTCTACTCCATGTGGTCAGTGTTGTCCCTGATGCACTGGGACGACATGGCCTGGACTCTAGATTAGGGAAGGACACAGTGGTGGCCGGGAGGCTGAGCTCCCCAGGAACAGCAGGAAGTCTTACCACCTTTCAGCCTTGAGGACACATCATGGGCACAGCTGCAGTTTTAAAAGAATCGATGGCCAGGGCTGGGCACCACCAAATCCCAGTCTCTAGACAGACAGCCTTCTAACAGTTTCCTCACTGGAGATTCTGAAACCCAGCCTCGCCAAGAACCACAAAGGTGTCCCGGGCTCCAGATTCTGTTTCCTCCCCGTACACACGTAGGCTGGTTGGGAGTGCAGTCATGGGTAGATGGAGACTCCACGCCCAGAGGCAGCCTAATCACACCCCAGTCAGAGCCCCCTGGGAGATAAGGCCCACATGAGGGCTTTAATGAAAAAAGGACGACAGACCTCAAATGCAAAAGACTCTGGTCTTCAGGATCCTGGAGGAAAACTGACTGGATGAAACTGACAAGGATAAACACAAGCCCTGCGCTGATGCCAACAACACAATTGATGGACACAGCAGCTGGCAACAGCAGGTGCTTCTGGGCAGGGGAGCCGCACAGCTGAGGACAGTGGTCAGAGAGAAAGAACTACATTTCATTGTAACTTGGATCTGCCTTCTGAGTTTTGCATCATATGGCTCTACTAGCTACCTTTAAAAGTCACTGGGTGCCCCGGTTGGGTAGCTTGGTTGGTTGGAGTGTTGTCCAGTTACGCCAAGGGTGAGGGTTGGATCCCTGACTGAATCAACCAATGAATACGTGAATGTGTGGAGCAACAAATCAATCTCTCTCTCTCTCTCCCTTCCCCTCTCTAAAAAAAAAAAAAAAAAGCCACTGTGAGAACAAAATAATTGGCAAAAGCACAGGACTGGGGAGAAGGACCTGTCTGGATATGACTGGGACACAGGCAGTCTAGGGGTTTAGCTGACAAGCCAGCCCTCAGCAGACACAATGCGGTGGCTGTCAAAGTCAGCCTGACTTGCAAGTTTGAAGGAGACAGGAGGCACGTTTGTGAAGAGCGGACCACCCCTCCAGGATCTATGCAGCTCACTACCGGCTGCACCCCTGGGCCCTGGACCGAGCACCCCATTCTAAAGCAGTGTCTGGGCAGACGTGCTAAACTGCACTCAAAAAAGAGAATTCAGGATGGAGAAGGCTCAGGAGACTGGGGCAGGAGTGGGTGAAGGGACTGCCAGCCCAGCAGGAGGACATCGCAGTCTCTGGGCATCTTCATTGGCAAAAGGGAGTGGACTGTTCTTCCTGAAGGCAGAGCTTCAGTGCGCTGTGGGGAGGAGCACTGCCGAAAGGTGCTGTTGGGGCTAAGAAAACCTTCCTCACCTTCGTCTCAGCAGAAGTCAGTGAGCTCCCTGTCACAGGACGGACTTGAGCTAGGGGCCCCGGGCCATCTTTCTGTCAGAGGTGACGCCAGTGAGATTCTTGCATCCACCCTGATGCTGAAGCTGGTGGAATCTGAATCTGAGCCCACTCTGACTCATGCAGTGCACCCAGATCCCTAGGTACTAGAATCAGGCCTTGCTTTGCACTCCATCCCTTCGGGGTAGTTATCCTGCTGTCACCCACTAATGACATCAATCTAAAGCACTGGGGGAAGTGCCAGGGAAGCCACCAATCCAGGGGTGCAGAGCATCAGACCAAACTTGGGGCCTGGAAGGGACCACCCTTCTTTCCTTTGAGTGTTGGCCAGGGGCAGGCCTTGGTCTACATCTAGGGAGGAGACAGGAAACCGACAAGAAAAGTGTTAGGAGGGATGCATGCTAAAGAGGGAATTAAATAGGTTCATGAGATGGGCTGGTTGGCTGCTCTACATGGGGGGGTCGGAAATCAGGGAAGGGCTCTCTGAAGAGGTGACATTTCATCTGAGCCCCGAATGACATCATCACCTTGTCTTGATCATCTCTGGTCAGCAGCATTTGCTCTGGAGTTCACCCACAGACGCATGAGTCTTCATTCTGGCAGATGCCGGGCTGCCCTTTGCCACCATTTTCTCCCTTACCGCTAGAAATCTCTGTCCCTTCCTCCCCAAAAAGCAGCCCTAAGTTGTCGTGAATCCTACAAGGAAATGAACAGCTCCGAAGGAGAGGGTGGGGAGCACAACCAGTCTCTAGTTAGAAACGAATGAGCCTGGAGTTAGTCCGATCTGAGAGATGGGGGTTACAGCGATGCCCAGCTCATCGGGTCTTTGCAAGCATTCAGTTGCTTTAACCCACTTACCGCACCAAAGCACCTGCTGCACAATGCTCAGAAAGTGGCAACTCCCTGTAAACGTCATTTAATGTCCAGTGTCTCTCTATGGACTCCGGGCTGGGCTCCCTGTGCTTCAGTTTCTCTCAATGTCCTTTCTGACCGCGGTGCTGCGTGCGTTCGGGTTCACGGTTTCCCGAGCCTGTCCACACTCCTGCGGCCTCAGGAAGGTTTACAGTTGAGAACTCCAAGGCCGCAGGTGCGTAGAAGCGGCTGCTGGGAACGTGAGCCCCGGGCCAGCCCCCGCCCCGCCTCTGGTGGCCACGCCCCATTCCTCCCACCCCTCGCCTGGAGCAGGCCAGGCTGGCGCGCTCCTTTAAGGCACCCTGCGGGCGAAGAGCGTTTCGCCCCCTCCGACGTCGCTGAGGTAGCGGCTTCACCTTTAAGGCGGCGCAGGGACTGTTGGGAAGGGCGGCGGGATGGAGGCGGTGGGATCTGTTCAAGGCAGCCGATCCGAGTAAAACGGAGAGGGAGCCAGAGCCGGAGCGGGAGCCGGACCCAAGCGGGAGGCGGGCCGGAGCAGGAGGTGCAGGTCAGCGCGGGCCGAGTGGGCCAAGAGACGGGGCTCTGGGTAGACCTAGGGGAGGGGTCGTCGCGGCGCGGCCTGTGCGAAGGCCGAGCTCACCCGCGCGGAGGGGGCGCGGTCCTGGGTGGCCGGGACCTGGAGCTCGGCCTTTTCGAGGGAAGTGTCCTCTGGGCGTTGCCTCGGCCTATGGGGAGGGTCGTCGTGGGCGGGGTCTGGGGTGACTAAGGACCCCAGATCTCTGCTCCTCCGGGGAAGGGTCTTCCAGGGTCGGTCTACCGAAGAGAAGAGGCTCTGTGGCCCCGACTGCCTGTTAGGGAGGGGACTCCCGGAGGGGCTGGGGCTGTACCTCCCTGAGGGGCCGGGGTCCCCCGCATGGGAATGAGGCCCCACGAACCCCGCAGGTCTGTCCCCCGACGCGCCCTGCTCTAGCTAAGAGAGTCCTCCGGGGAAGCCGGGAGGCTGAGCCGCCTGAGCCGGCCTGAACCGTTGGTTTGGGCCGAATCCGGGTCCAGCTTCACTTGGCCTCACCGCATTGCGTCTCCTAGGCCAAGACGAGCCAGGCGCGCCCCCTGTAGGCCAAGAGCAGGCGCGGTGCAAGCTGCTGATTAGGGGATGGGGCACCCCGGGGACCCAGGCGTCCGGGGACCGGAGGTGTTTACCTAATTCTGGACTGATGGTGCTGTGGCCCCAGGCCCAGCATCCCTCCCCCTTGCCTTCACAGGATCAAGGCCATGGCCACGATGGTGCTTCCCCGAGAAGAGAAGCTGAGCCAGGATGAGATCGTGCTGGGCACCAAGGCCGTCATCCAGGGGCTGGAGACCCTGCGCGGGGAGCATCGTGCCCTTCTCGCTCCCTTGGTGGCTCCTGAAGCCGGCGAGGCTGAGCCCGGCTCACAGGAGCGCTCTGTCCTCCTGCGCCGCTCCCTGGAGGCCATCGAGCTAGGGTTGGGGGAAGCCCAGGTAGGTGGTGCTGAGATGAGAGGTCACAGGAGGGAGGGCTGGAGCCTTCCAGAGGAATTCTGGCAGTGTAGAAACAGAATCTGAGCAAGGAACCATCTGTCCCCTGGAGCCCCATGGTAGGACCCTAGTAAATATCTGTGGGAAAAATGAATGGGCTTCGGAGATGGCTGTGGGGCCTTGCCCCAGGAAAACCCTGATCATCCTTTGGCCCCCACACAGAACACTCTTCCTAGCTTCTCAGCTGGTAACAAAGGCTGAGTTGCATAGGAGAACAAAAAGGAAACCCTTGAGAAATACCCCCCACTCATTCTTTTACTTATTCATTAACAGGTAAGTTATCAAACACCTACTATGTGCCAGGCAATATGTTGGGTACCAGGGATACAAGTCCAGCAAGACAGACAAGGTTCCTACCCTAGTCTAGTAGAAGCACAGACAGAAATACACATACCTTTGTTACACATTGTGATAAGTTCTCCAAAGAAAAGAACAAGATCTTGTAGTAGCTTTTAATGGGAAGTCTTATCTATTGGTCAGGCAAGATTTATAAGGGAATAGCATTTAAACCAAGACCTGAAAGAAGAAATGCACCAGCCTCCAGAAAAGGGAGGAGGGCGAGAGTTGCTTGTGCAGAGGTCCCGAAATAGGAAAGATCTTGTCTTAATGGAACAGTTACAACAAGATCTGTGTGACTGGAGCTTTGTGGGGAAGGAAAGAGGGACAGAAGAGACCTGGGGCAGATAGGGGCTGGGTCATTCTCTGCTTCACTAGTATGGATTTCATTCTTAGGAAATGGGGAAGCCTTTGGGGGGCTTTAAGCAGCCAAGGGACACAGCATGGGTAGATTTTAGAAGCTCCCTCAGGCTGAGATGGGGAGAATGAACTACAGTGGGTCAAGGATGCAGGCAGGTAGGAGGTCGTTAGGAAGCCACTGCTGGGATTCACATGAGAAATGGTGGCTTGGACTAAAGGGGTGGCCATGAGAGTGGACGGAAGGGGACCAGTTGTAGCTGTTCTGGAGGTAGGTCCAGGAGGACCAGGGGACGGTGTGAGGGATAGAGAGGAGGGCAGGCTAACTCCCAGGTTTTGTGGCTAGAGGAGTTAGGGGATGAGAGCCCGCATGCTCAGGAGTTCTAGTTTGGCCCTCGTGGAGGGTGGGGCTGCCAGAACAACAGGCAGATACAAAAGGAGTTAGGCTTTGGGGGAAGGAGTCTGGGCCCCTTCAGATCTTGGCTGAGACACAGCTGGCTCTGTGAATCCTGAACAGGTGGTATCATCTTGGTTTCCTTGTCTTTAAAATAGGGACCATGCCATCTGCTGTATACACTTCCAGTTTGTTTAGGGACTTTGTTTTTAAAAAGCCAGTGGTTGTGAAAACACTTGGCATTTAGGTGTTTGCTAGTCAACCAGAAAACACAAGGTCCCAAACCGCCTGGGCCTCTGGAGGGCGGCATGTCGGTCCTTCAGTCCTCGGCCCGTTGGCTGCCAGGTGCAGAGATGAACACACAGGGCCCCCCGCCAGTGCATGCAGGCCCTGGCACAGATGGACAACAGGATGGCATGGAAGGAGTGGAAGGTGCCCTGCTTTCTTGGGATGGCGGGCATAATAGAGAATAATTTCACTGCAGAAATGACCCTGGATGTGAAGGATGGAGAAAGGGTAGAGCTCATGCAAGGCCCCAAGGCAGGAAGATGCCTCGGGAGAGGCATCACAGAGGTTGGGGACAGGGAGAGGGTTAAGCCTCAGGATTTCCTTCCCTGGGACATGCACCCCTTTCCTCCCTTGGAGCTACAGAAGGACAGGGGCTTGCCCGGACCCTTGGCAGAAGTCAGGGTGGGGTCTTTCAGCCATCTAACAGGGTTCTCTGAGAACGTGTTTTAGTGGCTGTGGCTGCAGGGGCTTGAGGACAACCCCAGAAGAGACAAAGGAAGAAAATGGCTAGCTCAGGGAAAGCACGGCGCCCCAACTAGGCCTCTTCACTATCAACGCAGTGAGGAGGGAGCTGGCTCATCAGTACAGAGAACTAGCTGGAGGCCCGGGCAGAGGGATGGACTTCCTTAGAGTCCAGCAGAGCTGGCTGAGGACCCTAGGGCTTCTGACCCCCAGAAGGAAGGAGTTGGGGACCCCCAAGCCTCCTGGGTTCAGGTCTTGTACTATGGTCTATTTGGGGCCTTAGGAGAAAACTCCCTTGATAAGAGGAGAACTTCAAGTCCCTCGATCCTGCAGCCCCTCACAGGCAGGGCCAGGCCTTGCCCTTCACTGGGCCTCAGCGCCCCAGGAGGCCCTGGCTCGGGATGGACAGGTTTCTGACCTATATCCGGGCTGGTTGCCACAGGTGATCCTGGCGCTTTCGAGCCACCTGGGGGCTGTAGAGTCGGAGAAGCAGAAGCTTCGGGCACAGGTGCGGCGCCTGGTGCAGGAGAACCAGTGGCTTCGAGAGGAGCTGGCAGGGACGCAGCAGAAGCTGCAGCGCAGCGAGCAGGCCGTGGCCCAGCTCGAGGAGGAGAAGCAGCACTTGCTGTTCATGAGCCAGATCCGAAAGCTGGATGAGGACACCTCCCCCAACGTGAGTCCTACCACAGCCACTGTAAGGCCACCAGACAGGGGCACTGGGAGCAGGGAGGGGATAGGGTGGAGCACACTCAGCTCTGACCCAGCTGCTGACACCTGAGCTAGCTGGCGCTTCCTTTCCTGATGCTCACCCTGTCTTCCTGCCCAGGAGGAGAAGGGGGACGTCCCCAAAGACTCTCTGGATGACCTGTTCCCCAACGAGGAGGAGCAAAGCCCAGGTGCAGAGGGGCACGTGGATCTGGGGGTGCGTGGGTGGGCCTTAGGCCCCAGAGGTCACCAGAAAGGGGCCAAGTGTCTGCCACGTTCTTCCCTGCCTCATTCCTGATCATCACATCCCAGCATGTTAGAGCTTCAGTGGCAGGTGTTCCATTTGATCCTCTCCTCCCCCCAAGCTCTGTAAGAGGCAGGCTTCACGGTTCAGAGCTTTGGAGCAGCCCAGCCTGGGTTCAAGCCCCACTGTCCTGCTGGTCGCTCTGGGACCCCTGGCAGAGTTCGTTTCCTCCCTGAGCCTCCTCTGCGGGTTAAAGGAGGGTATGTGTGTGGTGCTGAGCCCTGGGCCAGTGCTTGCTTCGCTGACAGTGCCAAGTGCATGTGTTGGAGCCTCCCTTCTGCAGCTGCGGAGGCTGAGGACCCGAGGTCAGGTGGTTTGCACTAGGAACAGAGCTTGAATTACTGGCACTGGGACATCACCAACTCTTTCTGGGGGGTGACTAGATCTACTCTATGCAGAAACTGAGGCAAAATCATAACTTGCCCAAGGCCACATGTCAGGTGAGTTAAAGGCATGGTTGGCATGTGCCAGCCCAGCTTAGGGGACAGTTAGGTACATCTGAGCTCCTGACCTTGGCCTTGCAGCCCCCAGCCCTGGAGGAGGGGATGTGGCTGCCCAGCACGGGGGCTATGAGATCCCAGCACGGCTCCGCACCCTGCACAACCTGGTGATCCAGTACGCCTCCCAGGGCCGCTATGAGGTGGCCGTGCCACTCTGCAAGCAGGCACTCGAAGACCTGGAGAAGACGTCAGGTCATGACCACCCCGACGTGGCCACCATGCTGAACATCCTGGCGCTGGTCTACCGGTGAGATCACCCTGACCACGGGCACCCATGGGAGTGCCTGCGCTCTTCCCAGGGGCTCTAGGCCTGGGTCACGAACCTTGGGTGCCTTGCCAAGGCTACAACATGGGCTCCTCTAGGCAGTTGGGCAGCAGAGGGGGCTGAGCCCCGGGTGCCTGGGCTTTCGTGGGTCTGGGCTAACAGTGAGAATAAGCCTCAATCTAGTGGAGGTGAAAGCTCGGGCATAACCGGGGTGGGGGCTGCAGTGGGCGGCACACAAGGACTCCCAGGGCACCAGGGAATAGGCTCAGCTTCCCTAGGCACCGTGGCTTGAGTAGGGTCTTGGGTGAAAGATGAGTCTGCCCGGAACTTGAGGGACTGGAAAAGGTTTCCCTAGCAGAAAGCAGCATGAGTAAAGGACCTGGGGAATACAGAACGAGGTGTGTTGGACACGAGGCGGTGGCAGTGGTTTCTGCAGGAGTCTGCCTCCTACCCCAGCACTGTAATGTCCTGGTGAGTTGTGAGTGAATTACCCAAAGGCCCCCACCCCCAGCTCCTGGAGGGCAGAGGCCGACCAGGTCTCCCCATACTCTGGGTCATAATCATGCCCACTCAGTACATACAGGAGGAGTGATCAAGGGGTCGCAGACCACCACTGGCAGGGCCTGGGCCAGAGGAAACCCTCTCCATACTTCTCCCTATCCCCAGGGACCAGAACAAGTACAAGGAGGCTGCTCACCTGCTCAATGATGCCCTGGCCATTCGAGAGAAGACACTGGGCAAGGACCACCCAGCTGTGAGTGAGAGTGGGTGGAGGTGGGTGCTGCCGCTGCTCTCTGCAGCTCCCAGGTCCCAGAGCCCCTGCCTGGCAGGGCCCTGGGTTACAGAGCCTCCATTCTGACCCCACCCCCACCCCCCACAGGTGGCCGCAACATTAAACAACCTGGCAGTTCTGTATGGCAAGAGGGGCAAGTACAAGGAGGCTGAGCCTCTGTGCAAGCGGGCGCTGGAGATCCGGGAGAAGGTGCGAGCAGGCAGGGCTGGGCAGGCCAGGCGGCTGGGCACGCAGGGGGCCTAGGCCTGCTCTGAGCCCAGTCACTGGCTCCTGCTCTCATCCCAGGTCCTGGGCAAGTTTCATCCAGATGTGGCCAAGCAGCTGAGCAACCTGGCACTGTTGTGCCAGAACCAGGGCAAAGCTGAGGAGGTAGAATACTACTACCGGCGGGCACTGGAGATCTATGCCACACGCCTTGGGCCTGATGACCCCAACGTAGCCAAGACCAAGAACAACCTGGTACCGTGGGCCAGGAGGAACTGGCAGGAGGGAGGCAGGCAGGAGGTTAGGAGAAGAAAAGGAAAAGGCTCAGCTGCCTGCATCCTGTTCATCCTCTGACCCCTGCCCCTCCAGGCCTCCTGCTACCTGAAGCAGGGCAAGTACCAGGACGCGGAGGTCCTGTACAAGGAAATCCTCACCCGTGCTCACGAGAAGGAGTTTGGCTCCGTCAATGGTGAGTCCACAGCTGCCCTGTGCCCCCAGCTCACCCAGCACAGGCTCCCTCGGCCATCAACTTCCAAAGCAGTCAAGCCCTCCTACCTGGGTCTGGCTGGTTCCCAGCACTCGTGTGCACATGTGAGCATGTACACACACCTCGGCCCTGCCTGTGCTATGCACACCCTTTGCATACCCTGTGCCCTTGGCTCAGAGTCTCCCCTTTCTCTGCGGGGCAACTCTGCCTACTGTGAAGGCCAAGCCCAGACGTCCCCTGCTCTGGGATACTACCTCTGGCCCCTGATGTTCAGTCATTTCCTGCTCTGGGATCCTTCAGCCTGGCCCAGCATCCAGGCTCAGCGCATGTGTTAGACTGTGGGCCTGAGATACCTAAGGGCCTGCTCCCCCATGCCCCTCCAGCAAAAGCCTGTGCCACAGTCATCTCTGCTCCAGAGGATGGCCAGTAATGTTTTGGATCTGACTTCCGTTCAGTCATTCAACAAAGCCCAACCTTGGTCCTTCCTGGCTACCCCTGACCCCTTCCCCAGGCCCGTTTTATGTTCAGCCCAACCAGGAGAAACCTATAGGGCAGGCTAGTGACAGCCTCTTTTCTCTCCCCAGGGGACAACAAGCCTATCTGGATGCACGCAGAGGAACGGGAGGACAGCAAGGTAGCTCTGTGGGGCAGGGCTGGGGTGGGTGTCCAGGGAAGGAGGGAATGTGTAGAGGGAGGGCTCTTCTCTTCCTGCTTCCCCTGACTATTCTTTCCCCCAGGATAAGCGCCGGGATAGCACCCCCTATGGGGAATATGGCAGCTGGTACAAGACCTGTAAAGTAGACAGGTGAGGACAGTGGTGGTAAAGCAGGTAGCAGGGAACCAGTATTCTGGGTGGGAGCCGGGCTGCCCAATTCATATTGTTAACCCTCAGGACCACGCCTCTTCTCTATCAGCTTGTTATTCAAGGCCTGGGTCATAGGCCACTTGTCCCAAAATGGCTTTCTGCACTAAAAAACCTTGATTGTGTCATCCTTGGGTCTCCCAGCTTTTATAGTCCTAGTGGCAATATCTCACTTAGGGCCCTGGGGCCAGGTCCCCAGCCCTGGGGCATTCCAAGACAGGAGAGTGCAGCTGGGCCCAGTGCAGAGCTGACACTTAGGAGGAACGAGCTGTTGCTTGGCCAGATGGTCTCTTACAGCCCAGTGCAGGGTGGATACCAGGACAGGCCCCAGTTCCTGGGAAACATGGAGTCTGAGACAGTCTTGCTGTCCTGTCCGCAGTCCCACCGTCAACACCACCCTGCGCAGCTTGGGGGCCCTGTACCGGCGCCAGGGCAAGCTGGAAGCCGCACACACACTGGAGGACTGTGCCAGCCGCAGCCGCAAGCAGGTTGGGTGACAGACCTGCGGGGTGGGCAGGGACCTGCTTGGCCCTGTGTTTTTAATCAACCTGTCGCCCCACTTAATGTGCCCTCCACGTCCTCAGGGCCTGGACCCTGCAAGCCAGACCAAGGTGGTGGAACTGCTGAAAGATGGCAGTGGTGGGCGGGGAGACCGCCGTGGCAGCCGAGATGTGGCCAGGGGTGCGGGGCCTCGGTCCGAGTCTGACCTCGAGGAGGCAGGGCCCACAGCCGAGTGGAGCGGAGTGAGTGTCGGGGTTGGGGCGGGTCAGGAGGTTGTGGAGGTTGCATGGCACAGAGACAAACCTGTTCAACCCCCCCAGGACGGCAGTGGCTCCTTGCGGCGCAGCGGCTCCTTTGGGAAGCTCCGAGATGCCCTGAGGCGCAGCAGTGAGATGCTGGTGAAGAAGCTACAGGGTGGTGGCCCCCAGGAGCCCCCTAACCCCAGGTCAGCCTTTGTCCCTGTAAGCCCCCCACTCAGAGCAAGCCCCAAGAACCCACCCAACACATCCCCAACCCTAAATAGGCTTCTGACCCAAGGAGCTCCACCACGCACTCAAGCTGTTCCCCTCCCATCAGCCTACCCCCCCAAACCCTACCTGACCCCTTCCCCTTCCTTCCCCAGTTCCACCATGGGCACACACGGGCCTTCCTTTCCCCTCAGGATGAAGCGGGCCAGTTCTCTCAACTTCCTCAACAAGAGTGTGGAAGAGCCAGTCCAGGTATGGGTGCGTGGACGCCTGGGCCCCAGGGCTGCAGGCCTGCTCGTCCTGGGTCCCTGCCGAGCCTCCCCTCCAGCAGCATTTCCTGTCTGTCCCAGGCTGACTTTGGGCTGGACGCTGGGGAGACAAATTAGGGAAACCCAGCTTCTGCCTGGGTAGACATGCAAGTGGCAGTGCCAACACAGTCACTGTGGAGATGGGTAGGGGCAGGGGGTGTGGTGGGAGCTCAGGGACCCTGGCTGGTCAGACCCCTTCCCCTACGAGCCAGGGAAGCACAGACTGGCAGCAGCTCGAGGTTGAGCCTCCTGCCCCCTCTGCCTACAGCCTGGAGGCACAGGCCTCTCTGACAGCCGCACCCTCAGCTCCAGCTCCATGGACCTGTCCCGACGAAGCTCCCTGGTGGACTAATACTGAAGGGGCAGCGGGCTGCCAGAGCCTCTGGCCCGCACTGCCCCCGCCCCCAGCCCTGCGCATGGGCCTGCTGCTTGCCCCACCTGTCTCTCCCCAGGACCCTTGCCTTTTCTGTTTAATCTCAGGGTAACCTCCTCCCCTGTCGTCTCAGCCTGAGCCCTGGAGGCTGGGCCTGCACTCCGCAGCTCTACCCCTTATTTATTCCTTTCATCAGGGCCCCTCTATCCAGGTTCAGGGCCAGTGAGAGAGGCTGGCTGGGGTCTTCCCGGTGGAGATTCAGTGGCCCACCATCCCCTGACCCCAGAGCCAAGAACACTAAGCACCTGCCATCCCGTCAGCACCCCTGTCCTCCCCCGGCCGTTGCTTCTGTATATAGAGAAATAAGTTATTGGCCGCGCCCCGTCCCTCAGTTCAAGGTACTGCTCGGGCCTCCCTTCACCCGTCCTTCTCTAGTGGTACCGCCTAGGCCTTAATCACCCCCATTCCGCGCGGTGGTATCTCCCAGGCTCTACACACATCTCGGGGGGCCTCTCCAAAGGGTTCCCTGGGACTTGTAGCACTCCTCCGGGACTCAGAGAGTGCATCCTGCCCGGTCATCTCCCCGTGCCCCAGAACAGAGAGCTCTCCACTGACCTTCACCGCCGGGCCCTGCCCCGCATCGCATCCCGGCCTTATGCACTGCCCTTCCCGCCCGGCCCCGCCCAGGCACGGCCTGACCCCGCCCGGGGCACCGCCCATTGAGCCATCCAGCCACGCCTTCTCTCGCCCCTGCAGCTTCTCGAGGGACAGTGATGTCCCCCTGTGGCCGGAGGGGCTGCCCCTGTTGAGGGTTGAGGCGGTCGCTCTCTATTTTCAAATGTTGCTGTAGAAATAAAGATGGTTTGAATCTGAGCCAGGCTTGTTTCGGGCTGAGGCCAAGGGTTCCCAGCGTCTCTAGGTTGGGGGTGGGGTCGGGAAAGGCTGCTAATGAGCGGGGAGGGGATCGCTCTCGTGCCATCCCCCGCAGCTGGAATCCAGATACTCTGGTCCGATTCCGCAATTGTGTGGGGGCCCCAGGTTACCTCTGATGCTTTAGAAACTGCGAGCTTTGATTGAGCTCTTACCCTTACTAAGCTGTCAGACCTTGAGCGAGTTACCAAGACTCGATTTTTTTCATCTATAAAATGTGGATGGCCACACCTTCCTCTGGGGAGCGCCAGCACACAAAGAACCCTGGATAAATGAACTTTTACAACTCTGGGAGTTGAGAGGGTAGAGATAACTACTCTTGTCAGAGGTGGGAAGTGTCAACCCCTAAATCGAACTTCCAACTCTTGGATCCCTTGAGGTTCCCGAGCGCTGCCTTAGAAAATGAACTACAAACCCCAGGAGGCAATGTGCGGTCTAGGAAGCTCGGGCTTCCCAGTTTACGCCTGCGCGGCGTGTATGTGCGTGCGTGCGTGCGTGCGTGTATGCCCGGTGTCAATGTAAGAAGACTACAAGTTCCGAGAAGCAATGCGGCGAGGCCCCACTTGAGATTATTTGCGGCTGCGCGTCGCGGGCGGGGCCACTGGGGCGGAGCGGCCACCATCTTGGAACGGGAGGCGGAGCAGAGCCGACTGGGAGCGACCGAGCGGGCTACCGCTGCCGCCATGAACCCCGAATAGTGAGTGAGCCCCGCCCGCGCCGTCCGGCGCAGCCTCGATCCCGAGTGCGAGGCTGTACGCTTACCGGGGTTATCTGGCCTGGGTCAGGACTTCGCGGCGCCCCCACATCCGGGTCCCTCTTCCGCTGACCCCCCCCCCTCACATCCGGGTCCTGCCCCACCCCCGGGGGCCCCAGGACCCCGGCTCCCCACCCCGAGTTCTTACACTTAGGGCCCCAGAGACTGCGACCCCGAAAGCACCATTTGCAGGCCGAGGGACTGGCCTTACCAGGCCTTATCGGTCGAGTGACCCCGCAGCCTTGGTCTTTCCGGGCCTCAGTTTCCCCACCTGGTTGAAAGTAGAGATTTGTGGGCTGACAACGGCCGCAGCGTTTTGGAGCTGTCACCAGATGGTTCCTGGTTTCAGTTCAGACTCGGGCCCTTTAGGTCAGGCTGTAAATACAGAATCCGGTTCTCCGGGCTGGCCCAGGGGCTTCTTAGACGGGAGGCCCCAGCCGCCGCTTTGGTAGCTCTCCCGGAGGTCCTCCCCTCCGGGGCTGCTGCTTTGCCCCTTGTCTCCGTCTGGCTGCCTGACCGGTCCCTTCCCGCCCTCTCCTCACCTTTGAGCAGGCCCCAGCGCCACCGTCACACCCCTTCCTTTGGCTGTCATACTGCTGGTGGAGTTTAGGTGGATATGGCATTTACGTGCCCCCCTTCTAGTGGGATTCTCTTTTCCTCAAACTCTCCTCCTCGGTCACTCCCCCTACGGGTAGGTGGCTCACATCTCTGCCCCAGACTTCTCACTGACACTTTTCCCCAAGTGTCAGTTACCTTCTTCCTCCTCTGCCACTTCCTTTTTCTCCTCTGCATCCAGGCCTCATATTTTCTTGGGGAAGCGTGAGGCTCTGAGCTGGAGCATAAGGGGATTAAGAGGGGAACTGACAGAGACTTTGGAGTCTGAACCTGGTTTCCAGTCTGAAGGTACTTAGCACTGGACCAGGCATAAGTAGGAACTCATTGCATCTTAACTGCTGTTATTGTTGCCACCTCTCTTTAGAGGCTTCATTACATGCTCTTTTTTTAATTCATTTTTAGAGAGAGGGGAATAGAAGGAGAAAGAGGGAGAGAAATATCAATGTGTGGTTGCCTCTTGCACACCCCATACTGGGGACCTGACCCGCAACCCAGGCATGTGCTCTGACTGGGAATCAAACTGGCAACCCTTTGGTTTCCAGCCGGCACTCAATCCACTGAGCCACACCAGCCAGGGCCATTCCACGCTCTTTTCATAGATATTCACTGAACAACCTCGAGGCCTAGGCCGGGCCCTGGCTCCCACTGCCGGGGCCTCCCCTGCCAAGCCAGTGCACCATAGGGCAGTGTGGGGGCTCCCTGAATAGCTTCTACTGGACTAAAGACCATGGAGTCTGTCCAGAATCAGTGTAGGACACCCAGCTCTGTCACCTAAGTTTCTGTGATCCTCTGCAAATCTTGTCCTTCCTGTGCCTCAGTTTCCTTTCTGTCAAGTGGGAATTTATACTCAGACCTTGGAGCCAACTCTGTTGTAGGGCGTGGTCAGCTGTCCCCTCACAGCACCTGTGAGCACTTCCGTGCTCCAAACCAATGCCTTAGTGTGGGAGGTCGCCACGGCTGTGCCTTCAGGGTGGTGGCAGGTGGGCTTCCTTCCTGCCTTCACACCTTCTCACTTTCTCTCTAGTGACTACCTGTTTAAGCTGCTTTTGATTGGTGACTCGGGCGTGGGCAAGTCATGCCTGCTCCTGCGGTTTGCTGTGAGTAAGAAGCTTCCCCTACCACACATCTGGGTTTCTGGCTGGTGGCCGGAGGGGATGGGGCAGCCCAGAGCACAGAAGTTGCAAGACCTGGGGGACTGAGGATGAAGTTGCAGGACCTTCCAGCCACATAGCTGACGGAACAAGGACACCTGGCGGGCAAACTGGGTGCAGTTAGGACCTCCGCTAGTGCAGGAAATGTGAGGGAGGTTTTCCGGTTGGGCCTCCAGCCGCTTCACCCAGGCCGTTTCTCTGGCCCCTTCATCTTCCAGGATGACACATACACGGAGAGCTACATCAGCACCATCGGGGTGGATTTCAAGATCCGAACCATTGAGCTGGATGGCAAGACCATCAAACTTCAGATTGTGAGTGCCGGTCTTCCCAAAGTCCCTGGCACAGAGGCACCCGCCACGGAAGGGGAGGGGCTCTGGGCACAGAGCCCAGGGCTGACCTGCCCTTCCCTTCCACTGTCTCGTAGTGGGACACAGCTGGTCAGGAGCGGTTCCGGACCATCACATCCAGCTACTACCGGGGGGCTCATGGCATCATTGTGGTGTATGACGTCACTGACCAGGTACTCTGGGCTCACCTTCCCCAGCTTTGCCTTCTCAGTCTCAGGTCTTTGGCTTGGGCTTCTTTTTGCTGTTCCTATCCGCTCTCCCTGACGTGGCCCAGGAAGGAGACTGGACTTGGACTCATGTCACCAAGAGGGAAACAGCGTAGGCACAGATCCTCCCTGCTGCGAGGTCTTGGTAGAGCCAGGCCTCACCCCTCCCTGCCACGCTTGCCTCCTTATTTTAGACCTTCCAGGCATCTGTGTTCTGGGGGAGTTCCGTTGATTGGGTGCTGCGCTGGGTCTGGGGCCCAGCCTCCTGTGTGAAGATACTGAGAAGCAATTGGCGAGCCTCAGGCAAGGAAGCGAGGGAGCCCTGCTGTGGGCCAGGTGTGAGCAGGGGTCTGGGAGTCCTGCGTCTGTGGTGGCGGCGTGTCATGTGTCTTTGGCAGCAGTTGTGATGCTGCCAACCAGAAATAGCCCTGGTATACCTTATAGCTGGCAAGGCCTGTCGTCTTTTGATGTTCGTGACACTGTAAAGAGGTCTGTGTTGTGTTCCTGTGTCACAGGTGAGGTGGGTCAGAGTAGAAGGAGACTGGCTCAGAGCCCTGCAGCTGGTCACGTGCCAGAGACAGAAAGCTTGGGTCTGCTGACTCTGCCTGCTTTGTTCTTTCTACCAAACCTGGTTGCTCGGTGGGGACCAGGCTCTGGGGACACGGAGGTTCCTGGGTCAGCTCTGGGGCCCCTGCTCCGCAGCGCGGCAGTCTCTACCCTCACTAGGGACTCACGACACCTTCTGGACAACAGGCAGCGGGTGAACTGTGCCCCACATAGACAGAGGTCACCAAGGACCTCTGATTGCCAAGTCCTGTGACCTTGTTTCAGTTCTCACTCAGATCGACCTCTCCCGTGGCTCTAACTCCACTCTCTTTCCTCTCCTTGAAGAGTTTGCTGCTTCCAGTTTTCCCTGCTCCTGCTGCATTAATGCCTTTTCCAATGGCTTCTTACTGGTTCATCCTGCACTGACCCCACAACCCTGCGTTTTGTGTTTCCTGCCCCAGCCCCAGACTTCCTCCTGACTCTCCCTGTACTGTTTTGGCCACTTGCGTCTGGCCAGTTTGGCTTCTGTCTGAAGTCCTGTGATTCCTGCATCTAAACAGCTATCACTGTAGATCTTCTCTGTGTCCTGCACTCCACTGGCATCTTGTGTCGGTATTAATTCTGATCTTCCCAGTGCTACCCAGGGAAGTAAGTGGCAGGGTCCCCGTTTTCCTGGTAAGGAAACACCTGGAGAGCTGTGAAGTAAGTTGCCCACGGTCTCACAGCCAGGACTGGCAAAGCCATGCTTGAACCCAGGGTGCTTGTGTTTTCCAAGCGCACCCTTTCCTGCTGTTAGCCTCTCCAGAGCTCCGCGTACCCCACACTGCACTCTCCCTGCACTAGGTCTCTCGCCTCTCTGTTAGCCTGACCGAGCACTCTGCCCTCCATCATCCCGTCAGCCCCAGGCCTCCTCTGTTCACCCCCTGCACCCCCCCCCATCATCTCTCTCCAATCTGCCTCCTTGTAATAATAGCAGTCGTGGGGATAATAGCAGCTCCTTCTAATTAAGCACTTGTTAGAGACGGGCCTGCATGTATAATTTCATGCTCGCTACAGCCCGCCCGGGAGGTGCTGCTTTATGCAGGCAAGGGAACTGAGGCTCAGACCAGGTGTCGTATCTAGGGTCACACAGTTAACGGCAGAGCCAGGCTTCACCCACGATGGTCTTCCCTGGCTCCAAACACAACTCCTGTTCTCTGGATTATTCCAGCCGCCTCCCAGTTGGTCTCCATTTTCTTGCTGCTCTGATCTGGGCTCTACATTTCTTTTTCTTGTTTTTCAATCCTCATTCGAAGATATGCTTACTGATTTTAGAGAAAGT